TTGGGCAGAGCACACTTAAATTCCAGTCGTCGGGCATGCGTTCATCTGACCATATTCTGCACAAGAGTTGATGCATGCACCTTATCACCTCCTCGCCGCCGTACTTGAATAGATCAGCTGGCAGGCTGTCAGCTCCAGCGGCTTTGTTGTTTTTCAGCCGCGTTATTGCTATACGTACCTCGTCATAGTCAGGCGGTGGAACGTCGACTCCGTCATCATCGACTGCGGGCTCGGGTTCTTCTTCTCCACAACTTTCTGTGCTGCTGCCATTTAGTAGGGCGGAAAAGTGTTCCCTCCATAATTTAAGTACGCTCTGGACATCAGTTACTAGGTCGCCATTATTGTTCTTACAGGAGTGCGCCCCGGTCTTTAAACCTTCCGTAAGTCGCCTAACTCTCTGGTAAAATTTTCGGGCATTCCTCCTGTCGGCCAGCATTTCAAGCTCTTCGCACTCACGTATTTCTGCCTCTCTCTTCTTGTTGCGGCAAATACGTCTCGCTTCCCTCTTCAGATCCCTATAGCGGTCCCACGTGTACTGCAAAAAAAAAAAAAGGCATCTTTTTTCTCTGCAGCTTCCTGACACTCCTCATCGTACCAGTTGTTCTTTCGGGCTCGCTGAAATCCGACTACTTCTTCGGCGGCGGTACTTAATGAGCGGGAAATGTGGGTCCACTGCTCGCATATGTCGGTTTGTTGAAGAGTGCTCTCTGAGAGCAGGTGGAAGAGTCGAGTAGCGAAAGCGCTGGCTGTCTGTTGTGATTGCAGCTTTTCGACGTTAAGCTTTCCTTGCATATTTGGGCGCACATTTTTTGCTGCACAGAGGCGGGTGCGTATCTTGGCTGCAACAAGATAGTGGTCCGAGTCGATGTTTGGGCCTCGGAGTGTGCGTACGTCTAAACCACTGGAAGCGTGCCTTCCGTCTATCACAACATGATCGATTTGGTTTCTCGTTTTTCGATCCGGAGACAGCCAGGTAGCTTGATGGATCTTTTTATGCTTGAACCTAGTACTGCATACTACCATGTTTCGGGCCCCGGCGAAGTCGATCAGCCTCAATCCGTTGTCGGACGTTTCGTCGTGGAGGCTGAATTTTCCGACGGTGGTTCCAAAGATCCCTTCTTTGCCCACCCTGGCATTGAAGTCGCCAAGCACGATTTTGATATCGTACGTGCGCTCCAAGCGCTCATAGAAGAGATCCTTGGATGCCTCATCCTTCTCTTCCGTCGGGGCATGGGCGCAGATGAGCGAGATGTTGAAGAATCTCGCTTTGATGCGGATTGTGGCTAGACGCTCGTCCACCGAGGTGAACGACAGTACTCGGCGACGGAGTCTCTCTCCCACCACAAATCCAACTCCGAATTTGCGCTCTTTTACATGGCAGCTGTAGTAGACGTCGCAAGGCCCCAGACATTCTTTGCCTTGCCCCGTCCAACGCATTTCTTGGATGGCGGTGATGTCAGCTTTTGTCCTTACGAGGACATCAACCAGCCGGGCAGAGCCACCTTCCCCATTAAGGGTCCGGACATTCCAGGTGCATGCCCTCAAATCGTAGTCCTTTAAACATTTTCCGTGGTCGTCATCATAAGGGGGGGTCTCATCCGAGGCTTTGCCTTGCTTCTTCACTGGAAGTGGTTTTTACGTGGCGGGTCCCAAGCCCAGCGCACAACCCATTGCTGGGACGGGGGTGGTTTCGCAACCAAATACACGTTTATATAGCGAGCCGCTTGCTCCAAGCAGACACCCGCTTGCAGCCGCACCTACTGGTGAACAGACGCTGCAGACTTCAGTGAGCCCTTAAACCGAATAAGTCAGAGTGGCCCCACCGAAGCTCCCTCTCTTTCTGCCGTGACCCAAGGCTCCACTCGGATTGGTTACCGCATCTCGCACATGGGTTGCTCACGTTGCCCAGAGTGCGCGAACGAGGACGCAAGAGTCGGGATTGAGTATAGCCATGCAACTGTAACTGCATACCCAGCGCAATGACTATACCCCATATAATTAAGTATATATAAAAGCTTTGTGTGCCTTCGTTCCAAATAGAAGTAAGTAAAAATTGCGATAAAAGTTGTTTTAAAACCGTGTATATTTAATGCATCTTTTATTGTGCAGTTGCAATTAAAAATTTGTGAATTCTGCGGCTCGGAGTTCGGCCATTTTTATTAAAATTGCATTTTGCATTCAGCGTGGAAAATCAGCTTTGTGTGCGTTTGTTCCAAACTTTCAAGTAAGTAAAAATAGCGATAAAAATTGTTATAAAACTATGTATATTTATTGTGTCTTTTATTGTGCAGGTCCAGTCCAGTTTTTGTGTGCAGCATTTTCGTTTTGCGAAGCTTAATATTTGCCAGTAAGTACTGTATTTTACAAATAAAAATGAAGAGGAGTACTTTTTATAATAATTTGAGTGTGATGTGCAGAAAAATATAAAAGGCTGCCCCAATTTGCCGATTCGGATTGGGGCGAGTGCAGTGCCACTGCGAATGCGCAAAATACTAGCGCGGATATTTCATTTTCTGACTCCGATTGCCGGTCGGAAAATGAAATAGAAATTATACCAACAGAAGAAAAGTGTAAGGAAATAAAATTGTGGGCAATTGAAAATAATATTTCACAGGCGGCATTGACCAAATTGCTTTGTGTACTTAAAAAAATTCGTGTTAATGATCTTACCTTGTGTGCGAAAACTCTTCTCCAAACTAATAAAAATAAAGCACATATTCAGTCAATTGCTGGAGGAGAGTTTATGTATATTGGCATACAAAAGTACTTTGCGTCCGATTCGTTTACGTTTTTAAATGAAAAAAGTGAAGTTTTAATAGACGTCGGAATAGATGGTTTAAAATTGTTTAAGAGTTCCAACAAAGTTTTGTAGCCAATTTTGGGTTCAATTGTTGGACTTCCGAACGAAAATCCTTTCACGATTGCCTGCTTCTCAGGAAAACAAAAGCCAGATAACGTAAATCATTTTATGAAAGAATTTTGTGAAGAAGTAGCTTATTTGAGAGAAAATGGCTTGAAAGTTGGTATGTTTAACACCACATTAAAAAAATTTAATATCCGTATTTTTACATGCGATTCCCCGGCGCGTGCTTTTATAACTAGTGTTCAAGGTCACAATGGGAAAAATGGCTGCCCTAAATGCAGTCAAATCGGCAGCTATGTAAATAAGAGAGTGTGTTTTTCTAGACACACGAGTGACCTAAGAACAGACATATCTTTTAAAAATAGAGTAGATAAAGCTCACCATAATTTTAAATTTTTACAACAACAAAATATACTTGAAGCAACAAATTTTGGAATGGTTTCTCAATTCCCCTTGGATCCTATGCACCTTGTCGACTTAGGTGTGGCTAAAAAACTGTTAAATTTGTTACTCAAAAAAGGAAATATTACCCAAATGAATGAAAAATTTAATTTCGTTTCTCATTGGGTACCATCTGAGTTCGGAAGGGTGTGTAGAAATTTAGATGATATCGGGAATTGGAAGTCCACAGAGTACAGGCAATTTTTGTTGTATTCGGGAATATTCGTATTAAAAAATAGCATTGATGACGATTTATTTTATCATTTTATTTTATTGCATGCCAGTATACGCATTCTCTCTCGTGAAAGGTCCTACAAAACAGAAACCAATGTAGTAAAAGGATTATTACAAGATTTTGTTAGTTCGTTTGGAAATATATATGGTGATCATTTGATAAGTTTTAATATTCATGGCCTTCTTCATTTACCTGATTGTGCTAAAGAATTCGGACCATTAGATTCTTTCTCCGCCTATAAATTTGAAAATTTTATGCAACGTATGAAAAAAATTATAAAAAGTCCCACTAATATATTACAGCAACTATTTTTAAGACTCGAGGAAAGAAAAAGTTTAGAACAAAAGCAATTAAAAATTGGACAATTTTCGATTAATCCTAAGAAAGAGAAAGACTCGTTTTGTTTTAGCGAAATCACAGGACCTTTTAAAGTTATAGAGTCGCGTTTGGAATCGGGAGAAGAGATAGTAATTGGATACAGTTTTAAAGAATTAAGTAATTACTTTAATGAACCCTTTGAATCTTTTTCTTCTTTTGGTATTTTACTTGCAAGTGGACTGTGTAACGAAAAAACAAAAATTTCCAAAAGTATTATTAAGTACAAATATTTTTGTGTTCCATTTGAAAATAAATTTATCTTAATTCCCCTTCTTCACCACCTCTTTCACGACTTTTCGAACTAGTTATGTTTCATTCAGCCTTATCGCCAACTCCATGTGAATAAAACGTTTAACAGGCAAAACAAAAACAAATTGGGAAAAATTGTTTTTGTTTTGCTTTATAATTTTTGGGAATATTTGTTCACATGAAATTCATAATAAGGCTGATTAAATTGCTTTATATTAAAATTCTAAGTCTTATACTACTAATAATTTTTTTTTTGTTTTCAATAATTTACATGAAATTCCCATTAAGGACATGGACAAAGCGGAAATAAATTCCATTATTTTCGGGGATTCTGAACCGGTGGCCTCCACATCAATGGGAGCAAGGAAGAAGGTGAAGCTTTCCTCCCATTTCAACTTTGCTTCTCATCAAGGTAAATTGTGATTAAGATAAATATTAATTAAGTGTACTCCGTTAACCGATTCTTCTCCGCCGGTGTCGAATCCTAATAAAGGTAAAATGAAAACCATTTGTTGGAATATTTGAACTTATCTATTCTTCCATTGTTACAGATGTAATGGAGATGTTGCATCATATTTTTAGTAAGCAGTGTGACCTAGAGGCCCGGATGGACAAGATAGAAAAGAATGTATGTAATTTCCTCTCATTTTGTTCATTTATTATTATTAT